GCTCTACCCGTATGCGGACAAAGTTTGTGCGCCCCGACAAATCCATTTTTCACTATTTCATGTACCCATCGGTTACACCATATTCAGACATCTTGACAAGAAGGAATTCATGGTTGACCTTATCGAATGCCTTTGTCATGTCTAGATACACTACATCAATCTGCCGACGGTTTTCAATGATTGGAGCACAAAACTGCATAAAATGACAAAGATTAGACTCTACCGAGCGGCACTTCATAAAGCCATGTCGCGCCAAATTAATTTTGTGCTCAACGAAGTGATACAAGCGCTTGAAAACTGACATCTAGAAAAAATATTGGATATATTTGATAACAATGAAACCGGCCTATCATTCTTTTTATTGCTAGGGTCCCCAGATGTGAAAACCGGTACAATAGCAGCAATTTGGCACCACACTAAGAAATAAAATAATAATAAAAAGCTTCAATACCGGTGCAAATACAGGAACAGCCATTTAAAATAGAACTGGGCATACCATAAAGAAAAAGACAAAGAATAGCTGTGGCTTTAGTTTCTTAACAGCCGAAATAATTTCAGAAATGTCCAGGTCACATGCCGCCATCAAGTCGCCTCCACTCCAATGAGAGTAAAACCGTTGAAACTTGGGCGAGTTGCTAATGCATACACTCTAAAAAAAAGCCCGTGCGTCTCCTTTCCGCACAACACTTGGGAGAGCCAATCAGCGCAACTTACAAAGGCAGCTCAGCGAATGACGATGCCGAACGTATGTTTATACTTTGTTTGTCTCATCGTATACGATGGACTAAAAGCCAAAGCCACGGGCCGCCAGGTCCAATCACGTTCCGCTCTATACTATGACACGCTTAACATTGATTAGGGGTGGACGAATAATGCTCGGTCGTGGCTTTCTTTCCGATGTAATATTGTTGAGTCACTCAGTGCTCTGCATCGAAGCGAAATACCGCACAATTTCTGAGTAACTCGTGATTGGATCTGGCGGTCCGTAGCGTTTGCCTTTAGTCCAACGTAGGGTGAGACGAAGTATAGACCAAAAAACGCAGTCCGAGTTGTGACATTAAGGAATCCAAAACGTCACGCTTGCATTGTTTAATGTCACAACTCAGACTGCATTTTTCGGGCTAAACATATGTTTCGGCATCGTCATTCGCTGAGCTGCCTCCGTAAGTTGCGGTGATTGGCTCTCCGAGTGTTTTGCGGGAAAGCCGACACATCAGCTTTTTTTATACTTCGCTTCAGCTTCGGTCCCAGCGCGCCCGATGCTATGAGCCGAATGGCCAATCAAACAACGGAAGAGACCCAACGTCATGGCGTGCTTTTTGCAGTTGATAGGACCAGCCGGTATTCGCAGTCTCTCTATGTGTGCTCTTCCGCCGGCTTGTCCTTTCAAGCGCAAAGAGCACGCCATGACGCTGCGTTTTTTTGCGCTGTTTGATTGGCCCTTCGGCTCATAACATCGACTGCGCTCGGACCGAAGCCGAAACAAAGTATAGAGTGTAGTTACGAAGAGGGAAACAGCGCCAAAAGTACGGAGGACAAAGAACGAGGAGTACACAGACCGAACTCCGTTTTTGTTTGTTTCAACGTCCAATGTGTCGAATGAAAAATAAGCGTGAAAAATATCAGACAACTTTTGAGCTACACCTGCGGGGAATACAAATCACAGCCTTCACCCTCAAAGTATTATGCTGTCGAGGTTCATTCGTGCATCTCTTCGTATATTTCTAGAAAATTCTAGGATCCTTCCTTCTCTCAACACCCATTTCATAGCTCCTTATAACTTGGATAAACGACTTGTTCTGGAAACTTCGACGGTTTATGCCCTAGAAAATTATGTCATCACAATTCTAGTTGGTCTATGTAGGAGTAAAAATAGTAAAAAAAGAAATAAATAAAAAAAAAAAATATATATATATATATACAAATTAAAAAAAAAAGATAGACGCCTTTTTTAAAAGGCATCTATCTTTTAGTAGCGGAAAATAATCCCTGGAGAAGGGGTACAAAGGGGACAAGGAACAAACACAAATCTCCAAACACAGCTATACACCAACTCATGTTTACAAACAAACCGGAGCGCCCGTGGCGGACACCACCGGCGCCGCGCATGCGCGGTGGATGGTGGGCAAGAAGCCCGCCGTCGCCTATAAACAAACCATTGAGTTGCGTTGATGTCGGCGTCGGTGAGAGTCCCCGTGCTCTTTTTTGCGTTGGAATTATTGATTCTACGTCCTCCTAACAATGTTTGACTACTTGAGCGGCTTCAGCAAAAGTAACGAGGCAAAACTTTGCGTGAATAATGTGCCTTGCGGCGATTCATTTCACGTGGGCGCCGCAGAATGGGCGCTAAAGCCTGACTCGCACGATGAGATTCTGCTCACTATTTTCAGTCGCGACGTCGCTCGGGCTGCTAAAGCGCGGACCGTAGCTGAGATGGTGGACGTCGATACTAAAAACCGCAAGTAGAATCGGGCATTACAAGTCGGTGACGGCCACTGGTAACAATGATCAACATCTTGTATCTACTGTTTACACTTAGCCTACTTACCCCAACCTTTTGAGGCCTGCACTTACTTCTTATCGCAATACCGGGTCAGCGTTTGGTTTACGGGCCGCTGTCGTTTGAACGAGCTGACGACAAAAAGCAGACAAGTTGGAAAGGGCAGACGACAGTTCGAACGGATGCGCAATGGAGTGCGGGCAAGAAGCACCACGTCCCGCGTCAACAAACCTTTGGAATGTCACGTTGTCGGCGTCTGTGTGAGTCTGCATACTCTTTTTTCGCGTTGGAATTGCCGATTCTACGTCCTCATAGCAATGTCTTACCACTTTAATCGCCTGAGCGAAATTATCAAGGTTCGTTAAGCCGCTAAGCTTTGCGTAAATAATTTGACGTGCGGCGATTCATTCGCGTGAACGGCGCAGAATGGACGCCAAAACCATGATGAGATTCTCCTAGATATTTCGCGCGACGTCGCGACGTCGAGACGTCGCTCGTGCTGCAAAAGTGTAGAAGGTAGCGGCGATGATCGACGTCGTTACTGAAATTCGGAAGCGGGAACAGACCAAGCGTAACAAGTTGGTGATGGCCACTGGTACCAATGATCAACATCTTGTATCTACTCTTTACACCGAGCGTACATAAGTCTTTTGAGGCCTGCAATTACTTCTTATTGCAATCACCGGGTCAAAGTTTGGTCTACGGGCCGCTTTTATCTGAATGAGCAGACGACAAAAAGCAGGCTCGAAAGAGCAGACGAAAGTTCGAACGATCATGCGGCCGTGTGAATTTGAAGACGCACTGAACCCGCGGGTGGCCCGGACAACTTGGCAGTTTTCTCTCGTTTATGTTGGAACAAAACAAATACATCTGCCGTTCACAAAGTGTTGCCCGTACAAGCAATCGTAGTTCGATAGCGCCTGGCTTACCCTTTTCACGGCTACTATCCACGTACTCGGACGAACGGAGCGGGAAGAAACACATAAATCTGATCTTCAAACCTTTCCATACGCTTTTGGTACAGTCCCCGTCGAAGCATTTCGACGAGAACGCAGGTTTTCTGCCTGGTTTATTCGAAAAGTACACAAGAATGCATGTCTCGCACCGCGACTTCTGCCCACCGCCCCAGACCGGAAGTGCGACCGACGCGCCACCACCGCGGCGTGACGTAGGAGAGTTGAGTTCGTGTATAGGTGACTGAGCGCGACCAAGAAAATCCACCTGGTCTTAGTATCGAACCAGGGACCTCTTCATTTCCGGCGGAGCGCTCTACCGACTGAGCTAACCAGGAGTTAGACGTCACTAGAGCAAACCAATTTTATAAGCTGCCGCCAGTCTAGCACCAACAAGGGTGAACGGCCTGCATTTTAAAGTTATGATGACAATGCAATTAATGCAAAGGTGCAAGCGAGCTGGAAAGGGATTATTTTCGGCATTCTTGTCCAGCTCGTTTGCACCTTTCAATTAATTGCATAATCACCGTAACATTAAAATGAAGGCCGTTCACCCTTCTTTGTGTGAGACTGGTGGCAGCTGATAAAACCGGTTTTCTCTACTGGCGTTTAACTCCTGGTTGTTCAGTTGGTAGAGCGCTTCACTGGAAATGGAGAGGTCCCTGGTTCAATACCAGGACTAGGCGGATTTTTTCTGTCGCGCACCAGTCAACTAGCTGTGTTTGGAGATTTGTGTTTGTCCTTTGTCCCCATTGTTTCACATCTCCTGGGTTCTTTTTCTGCATTCTTGTCCAGCTTACACCTTTGCATTAATTGCATTATCATCATAACAGATGTAGTAACACAGTTCACGTGGCATTTTGATCATCCCAAAATAATATTAATCCTATTGGTCTCAAGTATAGACGGCTCTTCAATCGCCGACCATTTCGACGGATCCTTAGTGTTTTATAGAACCCAGTGACTTTTTCCACGGTGGCGTCTCCGAACCCAGGTCCATCCGTTAGGTTCATCGAGCGATCTGACCGGTTGACTTAACTCCTAACGTCGGCAGCGTGCCTCTGGTGATTTAATTTGTCCCGAAAAACTTTGCCCATAGCGCGACGGAGACATTCCAAAACAATTATAATCTAAAGACCGCAGTAAAACTATACGGTGCCATGAACGCATCTCGAGCCGGTGTGATTGCCGCGTCCTAAAGAAGTGGTCCCCCGATTTCCGCCTGTTGCTGTTATAGCATCATAAATGGACCTGTCCTGTTGCAGGTCCCTCTCTGATGCAGGTCGCGGAGTTGGAACCACGACAACAGCGACACTCTCGCTCGCTTATGTACTCTTTTTGCCGGACCTTCTACCGCCAACTGCGATGATCGTAAGATCCCACAGCATGACACCCCGTTTCTTGTAACGTCGTTTGTTGCAACTTCGGGATTACTTTCAATGCACGGGTGGAATATAACGCTAAACACACCAGTCAGTGACGAAATCCGGGCACCGCAGTAAAAGCGGATGCTTGCACAAGACTAAGCAGTAGAGTGACAAACGAACCAGCACCCTCGCAGCAGCATCGCCCGGGCCGCTCTCCCAGCCGGAGTCGTTGATGTACAGCCGGCGTAGTGTGTCGAAACCGGCGACGCCGAAACGCTCCAGTTCGTCCTTCGTGAACGCTGTGGCCTTCCCCTTCTCGCCCAATTTCCGCCTGTAGAGTTCCATCTGTGCGAAAGAATAGCGCGGCGTCAGCGATACAGGCATACGGGCCCGCATGCTTCACGGCACTATCGGTTTTCCAGAGATCCAGAAAACAACCCAAAAAGATGTTTCAGTATGAAAATTAGATAGCACGGAGGAGAACGGAGGTACGACGACAGTGATCGTGGCAACGACTCGACTGACATCCTGTTCTCGGCAACAACCCTAGGAAGCCGAGAAAGGCTAGAGAGAGAGAGAGGAAAGGTCACTGAGGGGCGACATATGAGACCTCATACGGTCAGGGCCCGAAAATAGTGAAGGATTGTCCATAAGGTGGAAACTGTATCGCTAGAGTGACAATATACTGCTCAAAAAAGTGCCTGGAACGCGTCTTCGACTGCTATGTTTAGCGTCCTATCTCGCCCATACACCAAAAGTGGTCCCGAAGTAGCAACAAATGACGTCATAAAAACCGGAGCGTCATGCTGTCGGATGTCGCAATCCTGACGGTTGGTGTTAGAGAATTCCCGGGAAAAAAGGACGAGCGAACGGGAGTGTCGTTGTCGTCGCGGAGTTCCAACTCTTAGCTGCTGGAGCTACCGTGGGCTGTTAACCTGAAGAGCGACTTGCAGCAGAACAGGCGTCTGCCACTGCCACCACTGCTGCTGCTACACCACCAGGATTGCGGCCGGCGACAACATGACGCTTTCATGACGTCATCACGAGGAAGTCGAGGAACCACGTACTTTTTAGGACGTGGGAAACGTAACGGTTGGAGAGGCGTTCCAGGTGTCCCATTCAAGACGGAAGAAATATCACTCAGAGCTAACAAAAAAATAAAATATAGCACTAAAAAAAAAAAAAAATCAGCCTTTCCACTCTGGTGAAGAAGGAAGGCCAGCGGAGCTGTACAATGGAAAGTAATGGCCGCCCGCAAGTCGGCAAGCCATTGTATTGAATTGTATTGTATTCTGCGGCGCAATCTCTTTGAAACGAGAGTCGAAGTTGGACAAGTCAAAAAAGTTAAAAAAGAAAAAAAGGCAAGAGAAAAAAGAAAAGAGAAAAGGGGGAGAGGAGGGGATAGGGGGGAGGCCAGATTAGAAAAGCTGCCGCCATCTATGAGCAACGGCGGCAACGAGATACGTGGCTTGCCGCCCTCGCTCATAGATGGCGGTAGGTGTCCAGAGTTTGGTGTCTTCATTTCTTTGCGGGGGACACGATCTTGGGGAAATTAACCCTTAACAGCTCCGCTACAAAATAGTTCCGAGATGCCTGGCATATGGTAACTATCTGCACCTGGAAGCCGCCTTCGTCCAGGACGTTTCCCAGCAAGACCTTCTTGTCCTCGATGGTTGTCTTCTGGCTGAGGATGTCGGGCTTGAAGGGCAGGTACTCGGACGCAAACGAGGGCCCCATCACCAGATTCTCGTAGGCAGGAGCTGAGGTGAATGCCTGCGTGGGCAAACTCCGCAGACATTGCCAGCTATTTTCCTGCGCATCAGAATAACAGGGCGTGTGGACTGCGGATTTGTGCCCTCAAAATAACATCCGATAGAAAAAAATACAGTCTCTATATACGTATATACCGAAGTCAACGCGAAGCACCGAGGAGCCTAGCCGATCACGAAAGGCAGTACTATACACTGATCATCCAAAATCACCAAATGAGCGCGCCTGACGCGCCATTTGCGTTATATACATACTACCTCCTGGTGATCCGGATTTTAGTTGACGGCTGCAGTGGGGATACAGTGGGACCATTTTGTCGACAATATTTGCATGTATTAGGAAAGACTGCTGATTTAACCGGCTTTGACAATGGGCAGATTGTAATGGCCCGACAGTGACTCTAGGCCTGACGAGTCGGTAAAAGTATCTCGGAAAATGCAAAACTCGTCGGGTGTTCGCGAGCCGCCGTCATTAGTACCTATCAGAAATGGATGAACGACGGTGAAACCGTTAATATAAAACGAGGTGTTGCATGTGCACTCTTAATCATAGAATGTGAACGTCAGAGGTTTACCCCCTTGGTGAAGCAAAATAGGTGGCTACACGTGGCTCAACCGACAGCTAGATAAAATACAGGTCAAAGTACAAGTGTTTCTGAGCCCACAGCTCATCGGACTCGGCTGAATATGGGACTCCCCAGCGGACGACCCCTACAACTGATTTGCCTGTCAAAGGTGGACAAACACGGTATTGGGTCGGTGCATCATAATGTTTTGGCTGATCAGTGCATATCCAAGTGACACTGAACAATCGTCATATTTTGTTAATGATCAAAGAAAATATCCGTCAAATTTTTCTATCTACAAATAAGTGGTGAACTTTCTTCAGCAACGGAATATTCCCGCGTGTGTGGGGGAGTCGGCGACGCACGCGGATGCCGCGCGTATAAGAACGGGGTTCGAAGCCCGCTCACCATGTTCTTTCTTTTATCAACCTCTGCATTACTGGAATGGTCCATCCCATTCTCGGTTGTCATCCTGTGTTCTCGTTCAGAACCTTCCTGAAAGTACTCTGTGTATGGGGTGGCTGAAATTCCGAGTCTAGATCTAAAATTGGCTGTAAAAATCGGCGCCTGCACGTAGCTATCTAAACTTTTCGTCAAAAGTGTATTTCACAGGTGGGTTTTACCTTGTAAAATTACAAGACGTAGGTCCCTTTCTGTAACAAAATAGTGCCAAAAAACTTGCCAGGGTCAAGGACGGGCGGCGACGCAGCCGACCGAGTTGAGGAGCGGGCGCGTTTGGCGCACATATCGTTTGATGGCGCTAGCCAACCAGCGAAAAAAAGAAGCAGACGACACAGAGACGAAATTCGTCGTATTATGCAACCGCATTTTTCTTTACTTCAAGTTTTGTTATTATTGTCCGGATTTAATTGTAAACCAAAGGTACATTACAGAAAGATTATATTCATTTTAATAAACCACGGTCGTCGCGGGCAGTCTCGACATTTTAAAAAGCAATCCGTAACAATGTGCTAGCGCCCTCTATCAATACGTGCGCCAAACGCGTCCCGCCATTCGACTTGGTCGTCGGTCGTCGGCAAGTTTTTCGGCCCTATTCTTTTTTTTTACAAAAAGGAGCTATACCTCGTAATTATACAAGGTAAAACCCAGTTGTGAATTACACCTTTGACGAGAAGTTTAGATTTCTATCTGCAGACACCAACTTTTAAGGCTCATTTTTGATCGAGCCTCGGCATTTCAGACACCCTAAATGCAGGGGACATGCAGTTGGCTTGAGTCGCCAACGCCAGAAGCATGCTACTAAGTGTATAGGCCCAAGTTCAATTTACTAAACGTGTTTTTCACTTCTACATATCCGTCTACCATTTTCCATCCATATTCCGAACAAGTAATCTCTTCCCGCTGTTTTGTTTCAGTAGTAGAGAATGACCCATGGAACGCACCAGACTGTGACTGTCGCACTTGAGCGTGCCGAACACGTCCTTCAGTTTGGAGTTGGCCTTGAAGGGCATGAAAGGCGAGCCGCTCTGCAGGATGAACCTGGCGACGTTGTGGAAGGCGTTTCGGACGGGCGACAGCAGGTGGAGTCCCAGGGAACGCGCGCCGGCCTCGTAGCCGAGCACCACGATGGACGAGCTGTTGCCACCGAAGTAGCGCACGTACTTCATGGTCCAGTTGAGGGCCAGCAGCTGGTCGTACAGGGCCACGTTGCCCGGAGCGTCGTCCGTGCCGTCGCCCAGGAAGCCCAAGACGTGGAGCCGGTAGTTGGGGACCACGACCACGAGTTCACCCAGGGCGCTCAGGGCCAGCGCGTTGTACTCAGCGCTCCAGCCCCACTTGAAGTTTCTGCCGTGGATGAAGAGCAGCACCGTCCTCAGGGCAGTCTGCGTTAAGAGGAGCGCTCCGATTCACTCTTGTAGATGGAGCAAGGGTTGGAGCGCAGCGTATTTTGAATTTCTATGAAAGACTCTCGAGAAGTTATTCACGGATAGACCCCCCAAAAAAACAGCAGAAATTCGGCTGACGTAAATAGATTCTTTACGACGCAGATGAAGCTAAACTAACACACAGGGGGATCTTACTTACAAAGTTCTCGTTTTTGTTTTCAAAGCCTTTTGTATTTTATCTTACAATACGATGAACTGTGGTCTATTGCCAAAACCACGGTCACCAAGGGCCAATCAGGGCCCATATAGAAACCACATTTTACTCCGACATGCAGTGCTCCGAGATGGACACCCTAATACACACGCCTTTTCAATCTACCACGTGGTTTTTAGGCGAATCGTGATTGGACTTGGCCGTACAGTCTCTCACCTTCTGTCCTTCTCCTCCTCGAGCGTAGTACGACGCCCCTTAGATCTGTACCGAACTTGGCCGTATAGATCGTCGTTGGACTTTGACTGTAGTCCGTCGTAGGATGAGACGGAGTATACACTATTTTGTGTTTCAATATATATATATATATTTTTTTTTTCGTGTGTGTGTTCGTCTGTTCTTGTGTTGTCTGGATAGTTACTTGAAGTTCAAGCGTCGACTTTGGTGAGACCAGTATAAAGGCAATCACGGTCACAAGCGAGCATACACGTCGCCCACCAAACGCTCCCGAATAATATTCGCTCGCAGCATCTCGAAGATGTTGAATCGCGCACAGCTCGGGCGTTGAAATGTTAACCTAGCTATAGAATTCCGGTGAGCTATATGCAGCTCATCTAGCCCCACAATTCACGCACTTTCGGATTACCGATACGCAGTTAATGCTGCGCTGTCTCTCTGTCGTCACAGAACACGACGCCCTCCGACATTTGTCGGTCACGATATAGCGCCCCGCATAGAAGCGCATACAAGGCTGCCTCCAGATCCGTTTTGCCGCTAAACCGCTCTGCGTGCGCGCTTAGGGAGCGTAAAATGGTGCTCAGCTGAAGTTGGAGGGAGTCGTGTTTTGTATGAAACACCCGCATGTCAAAAGAAAATTCGACCCACCTCGGAATTCAGCGAAGGTGTCCACAGGTCCAAGTGCAGGCAGTCTTCGAAGTTGTTGACCTGGTGGAGCCGGGCGTGCATTGCCGTGCGCTGTGGGCCTTGCGGGCACGGCTCTCTCCTCCAGCTCTGTGCATCGGTCGAACTCTTCGGAGGCGCCGACTGCCTGAAGCGGCCGCCGAACGAGGTATCTTCTCCGAAGCGAATCTGAAGAACCTGGTACACATACCTGCGTGTGTGGAAAAAACAAAACATACCACAACAGGGTATTGAGAGGCAAAGTCAATAACGTTGGCTCGTACGTCTGTTTTTTCTTTTTCTTTATTCAAAAGTACTGCGGGTCTTCACTGAAAACCATAGCACAACTCAGAGTGGTGTGCAATGTTAAGAATACTAAGGGGAAAAGAAACAGGAACACACAAAAGCGGTATGTCGTCAAATGCAACAGTAAAACTTTCAATTAATGAATGACTCAGGTCAGTCTTCAATTGAAAATTTAAAAAAAAAGCTCACCTCATAAAAAAAATTAGATTTTTTTTAATGTGATTTTCAGCCTTGCCTTGCCCAAGCAATACAGACTGGAAAGACTAGAAAGCGGAGAAGGTACAGTGGATGCAGATCTGTCTCAAAATGTTGTTATTGTGTCTTGTACCTGTTTTAACCTGGGGTTCCTTAATGTAAATCGTGTGGTGTGCTATAGTCCGTTCACTGACATCGCTGCTAGGCTGCAGCAGGGCGGAGTAAGGTGCTCGCCGTACCAATATCTTTTCTCACCTGACCCCACTCTCTGCGCCTGAGTATGCGCAGGGAGCTTGATCACATGGTGCAAGACCGACACTCAACTGGTCCAACGAGTGGGTGCACCTTCCTCCGCTCTGTCAGCCTAGTGGCGAGCGGTAAAGAGCAAGGGACGTTACACGAATGCACAACGCCCGCATATATCGAAACGGTAGGCTTTCCCTCAAAGCTCCGCCCACCAGTTGCGGTGCAGCCGCCAAGAATCCTGCCCAAACAAACAAACTGGTCAGACGATTTGAAATTAATTTCAAAGCATAGAATGCTTTATAAGGCTACCCTCCTTCTCCCAAAAATTTGTCCGTTCGTCTGAGCGCCCGCGCGTACTCCACGTCAGAGCATGTCAGGTCAGCCGGTTTGGTCCCCACAGAAATTTAAACGAAAGTTACGAAACAATGTACGCAAGTGCTTACTCAGGCTTGAATCATACTTTGTTTGAGGTTAGGAAACCAGGACAATCTTTTCAAGGAAAGTCCTTCACTCTTTCCACTTTAGCAGAGCGAATGCTGGAGAGGAGGCGAGGAGGCACCCACAAGAAATTAAACCTCTCGGTACGTACCTTGACGCCCTACCTTAGTGCACGCTAAGCTGTGTGCCGTATATCTCCTACTACGGTTACCACCGAGTAAAACTTGTATGCGTAAACACAGAGGACGAACACGAAGGTGTGGGCAAGGACAAGCGGTTGTCCTTGTCCACTCCTCCCCGTTAGTACTGTGTTTGCGAATACAAGTTTACTCCATGGCCAGAAATTTGCGACAGGCGCTTCGGGGACAACTTTTATTGGCAAGGAAGCGAAAGCCATGGGTAACCGTGCGCTCGCGCCCATTCAGCGCCGATCACAGCTGTGCTGCGTGGTCTTCACTTCTTGGGGAACGTCAGAAAAAAAATCCTCACCTAGTTTAATTCACTTATCTGTTCCCACGTGGCGTATTCAACTTTAACTTTTACGCCGTGCGCAAATTCTCTCTAAAGCGGAGTGTGTGCGAGTAAAAAGGCAAAAAAAAAAAAAAAAAAGAAACAGTATTTTTTTAAAGCTATAAAAAAGAATGAGATAATGAGCGTCTTGCGGTTGCGACATACTGATAACTTTATCATACACCCTTACCATTTCATGGCGATACTGCGATCAAAGAAAGGACATTGTAGCTTCTAAACAAGTCCACACAACTCATCGTACGGATTTTCATAGCTCTAATAGTTATCTTGGAGTGCGATATACTAAGGTAACTTCAGAAATAATTGTGTTGTGAGTGAGTACAAAAGTCATAAAACGTACGTTATTATTAGCTATTGATTCCGTACAGGACATACCTAAGGATGGTCTGTCAATGTATGTTTTTCGGGCACATTTTTTTTACAGCGTAGCTGTTAAGGGCTAGTTTCCCCAGGATCGTGTCCGGTACCAAACAAATGTTGACACCCGTGGTCGACACAACACTCTGGTTGTCGTCATCGCTCAGTAGATGGCGGCAACATTTCTTCGGAGGAAGAAGAGCGGGAACGGAACGAGCGGCGATGTGCGCAGCAGAGCGAATGGTTCCGCAACCGCCGCGAGGCCGTTATCGCCTCAAGTTCCACCGCGTCGAGCGCTTCAGATTCTCTTGTGAAAGAAGAGCAGATCGCTCGCCTGGAAAGCCACCGCCGAGAACACAACTTACAGCTCCGCTGCTCTTCCTTCTTCACCAAAATGAAAAGGCTGAACTTTTTTTTTTCTACGCGTTGATTTATATTTACTTTCCGCCTGGTGCAATGCTGTCACCAGTAATAGCTTAATTTATAACGAAAAATAAAAGTTTAATGAGGCGAACTTGCGCCTACAAACATAAAGACAAAGGTTCCACGCATCTTGCGTCGGAAGGGTGAGTGACCGTAAGCAGCGCGTAATCGGTACTTTGATACACGCGGCGCGTTCAGAAATGTTCTGAACAAGAACATTCGATAACTGCCGAGATTGGGCTGGGATTTCTTAAAAGAGTACGAAATTAATAAGGCAAGGACCCGGGCCCAGTGGGATTCGAACTCCATACCTCTGCGTGACTGCCGCATGCGTCGTCACATTGAACTATACGCTAAGGACGCGACAATGTCTTCACCTTAAATCCGCGCACAGCCGACGCTACGAGCAGATGAGACCGATCAGACAGCGTCGAAAGCATTTGTAGCTGCGCGAGTTGGTACACCTTAGATTCGAAAAACGCCACAAAAAAAAAAAAAAAATAAAAAAAGACGACAGGAAGAATTGGACGAAACGGTGCGCTACTGTAAATGACAGTGGCGCATCGTTTCGTCCAATTCTTTATGTTGTCCTTGATTTTGTTTTTGTGCTTTTCGAATCTTAGCATTAAAAGCGAACCAGTATAATGTTCGTCGTGTCTTCGTGTTCTATCATCTCTGAACAAATCATAAATAGAAAAAGGACCAGTGACTTGCGCTTTTGACGCTGCGTGATTGGTCCAATTACCTCGTAGCTTTGCCTACGTCTGGACTTAAGCTGAAGCAAAGCATATAAATCGCTTATGCGGCATTTACACTACGTCCGAATGTATAAATTCGTTACAGTTATGTCATGAATACAGGGTGTTTATTTGATTCTTTACACATCGTTTTTAAAAGTCTGTTAGGCTAGACTAATGCAGTAGAACCACGTAAGTTATACGGCCAGGAGGACATTATAAGGGGGTGCCAATCGTCATGATAAGTCGAATAATTAATAAAAATTAGTGGAATTTTTTTTATAAGTGAAAACAAACCTAGGTTTACATTAGAAATTTGCTAAGCGTCAACGAATTTTATCATCCGCGTTCGTCGTGCCCAATCATCAAAAATCAACGCATACCGAGTGGCATCGTCTCAAAGTGGAGATGATTCCGCCGTTTTTACGCATTCGATCATCTTTTCAAGTTTGGGCACCGGTTCCTCATCCGGAAACTTTCGGAGGCCTGCCAAAAACTTAACTGGTGGCGAAATACAAAATTTAGAGCCCTCGACTACAAGCTGCTGCTATGGCAAATCCTCCAAATTGAGCCGTTTTTGAGTAAACTTGTCTCGAAGTTGACATGGTTCGACTATTTTTTCAGGTATTAATTCATCATTTCAAATTCGGGCCCTCGCGTTCTGAGATGGGCCGAGTTATTCACTGGTAGCGAAATGCACAATTTATGCATTTTTGCTACAAGGAGCTACTATGGCAGATCCTCTAAAATTAGCCATCGTTGAGAAAGCTAGTCTCGAACTGTACATGGCTCGAATGTCTTCAGGCATTCGTTTAATATTTAAAATGTGGTCACCCGCACATTGTCAGGGGACATTTTTAGATCAACCGGGTTTTCAATTAACTGACGAAAAAATGTAAAATTTAAGGCCGCCGACTACAAGACGGTGTTATTGTAAAATTGTAAGCTTCAGGCCTCTTAAAGGAATGGGATATCAATTATAATATTTCAATACGCTTTTCTCAGAATTTTTCTTTGTTGCTGTTTATGTGCAGAGCGCCTGGGATAATCAATTTAATGTAAATATTTAGTAGGTGCCTAAATGTTACTTTTGACACGTAAATGTCAAGTTCACACGAACAGTCAACACCTCATAAATCGTTCTTTCACCGCAGTGCTTCCATTCCTTACAATAAAAATCACTTTGCTATAATCATATCATTATTAACAAGAGTAACATGAAACGTTTTCTACAATTTTAGATCATCGTAATATAAAACAGCTATATTTTTTGTTATTTAGTTTGTTGATGTCAGTAGCAGAATACTGGAAATGATCTAAACGTCTAAACGAGGACAAATCCACCTCATTTGGCAAATTTGTCCCAGGAAGTCAAAAACAAAAACTAGCACACTATCTATTTTTCGAATTTAATGCAGTCGAAGGGCAAATGTTATATTTGTTGTATTCTTAAATTGGGCTTGTTTAAACTTCGCTGTTCTTCAAAAAATTGTGTGAGGTGCCTCCAAAATATATTATTCTACAGATGTAATACCGATTTTAGACATTACAGAATTTGTCATAACCGTCGTGGAGGTATTATATCTAATTAATACAATTCCAACAAGTTGCTTATACCCAAAATTAACCACGTACACTTGAATTAACTTGAATACTGTCCATAGTGGCAATACATCAAAAAGTTTATTCGACTGAGGAACCTGCAGTTTACACGTCATCTCATAATTGTGGCACAAGAATAGCGGTATATGATAGAATGGAGTAGTATCATAGTAAATTTCTCAAAGCGTAACGTTTCCGTGATATGGCCATATTTGTACATTAAATACATGG